AGCGGGAACCGGTCTGTATGTGGGATCCGAACCCTCGGCGGGAGCGCCACCAGGCCGGCCCGAGCCTTAGTTTTCTCATCAGTGAAATGGGAATAGTACCAGGTGCACCATCCAGTGTTCTCAAGATTTACATGAAATGATGATGTCAAGTGCTTGCCATGCTACCTTGTAAAAAGACAGCTTCAATAAATGGTATTGTGAGGATCGTTTATTCACTCAGCAAACACTTCCTGGGTGTCACTGAAGCTGGGGAGCTATTCCAAGCTCTGGCGATATGGCAGTGAACACAGACGTCGCCCTGCAGGATGTGAGGAAGGGACTCTGACAGTAACTGAGAAAACATCAGACACTCATCAGGATCATGCATGAATGAAAACAGTGGGCATTGAGAGAGGATTCCTAGGTGTTCAGTGGCAGACTGCTGAGGTCTGGATGACAAGAAGGAGCCCACCACCTAAATATATTAAGACATAAAGTAGGTGGATTTTTTTTTAATTGAATGTAGTTTAGTATCTCATACTGTGTGAAGGATCCTTAGCATTGGTGTGATCAACAACCCCATTTAAATGCCACAGGAGGATCCAGAAAGTTCATGGCATCTATTAATTTGTAAAGACAAAACTCTTAATCATCATTAAAGGATTAGAGCAGGGTTTCTCAACTTTGGTACTATTGAATATTTGGTCAAACAATTCTTTCTTGTGGGGGGCTGTCCTGGGCGTTGTAGGATGTAGCAACATCTCTGGCCTCTACCCACGAGATGCTGGTAGCACCGCCCCTTCTCCCAAACTGTGACAATTGAAAATGTCTCCAGACATTGCCAATATCCCCTGGGGTACGATATTGTCCAGGGTTTGTAACCACTTGATTAAGGGAAATAATGCCTGCAGAGCCCCCAGCAGGAACTTGGGTTTCTACCAGCTGGATTTATGCAACAAAGTCACATTAGAANAGCCCCCAGCAGGAACTTGGGTTTCTACCAGCTGGATTTATGCAACAAAGTCACATTAGAAAAAATGCCCACAACTGACTCCCCCAAATACATGTGCCAATTAGAGGCAACTTCACAAAGTTCTTAAATTGAAGACACTGCAAATGACCCTCAATGGTCTGTTAAATTATCATGACCTCCAATACTGATAGTAATGAAGCTGTGCTCTTCTGCCTATACTTTTAAAATTTTATTAAACTACACAGTCTCCTATAACACGAGCAATAGTATTACTATCCTCTGCAGTGCTGTACTGTTCATAATTTAAATAATGCTACATTTTCTCTTTCTAAAATATTTCACACACTAAATAGTAGTCTTTACCAACACCATTACTACCATATTTTAGTGTGCTACATTGTAATACTGTGTTCTCCTCAGTACTGCTAATGAAGAAATGCCCACAACTGACTCCCCCAAATACATGTGCCAATTAGAGGCAACTTCACAAAGTTCTCAAATTGAAGACACTGCAAATGACCCTCAATGGTCTGTTAAATTATCATGACCTCCAGTACTGATAGTAATGAAGCTGTGCTCTTCTGCCTATAATTTTAAAATTTTATTAAACTACACAGTCTCCTATAACACGAGCAATAGTATTACTATCCTCTGCAGTGCTGTACTGTTCATAATTTAAATAATAATGCTACATTTCCTCTTTCTAAAATATTTCACACACTAATAGTAGTCTTTACCAACACCTTTACTACCATATTTTAGTGTGCTACATTGTAATACTGTGTTCTCCTCAGTACTGCTAATGAAAGTATAGTACATGGAGCTACCCAGTATTTAATTTTAAAACAAAGTTATCACATATTATCTTGACTATGCTGCATTTTGCTATTCTACCCTCGATAAATATTGCAATTCTTCTACTATGCTTTTATGAACTCTACCTCGTATATACGTATAAATGTATTTTTTATAATTACGTGTATACATACATATATATGAAATATTTCTCAATTTTAGGAAGAATATTGCTACAATATTACACTATGGTTAGCTGTAGATGCCTTCTGAATCTGTTACTAATTATACTAAATGTTACGGCCTGAAATTTTAGTAACTAATTGTGCTACATCATGCTATATTAAACCATATCACACTGTAGTCCATCTCAATAATTAGTGGTAAACTATACATTCTAATAAAAAGTTCTCTGATACGATACTTCTGGATATTGTTGGTATCAATCACATTAATATTGCATACAGAAATCTCCTACTTCAAACTCAATGACAGAATAATATTCGATGACTCCTTGCCCTTTGCAGCAACAACGACATCCCCGGGCAGCACTACACCACAGGGGTGCACACGATCGCCCCGTGTCGGTAGCACTGCTTTTACTGCTGCTACTACTAACTTGCCTACTTGCTTAAATGTTTATTGAGGGTCCACTCTGACTCACTCTTCTTGGAGATGGGAATATAGCAGTAAGGACAAAATCCCTGCCTTTTTGGTGCTTATATGCTCCTGGGGAGAGACAGACAATAAATAATTCCAAAATAACTGCTGTGGCTCTGACTCACTCTTCTTGGAGATGGGAATATAGCAGTAAGGACAAAATCCCTGCCTCTTTGGTGCTTATATGCTCCTGGGGAGAGACAGACAATAAATAATTCCAAAATAACTGCTGTGGAGGAGATCTACTCAACAACGGGCCGAGAGGAGAAGCCCTTGCGGGTTCATCTCTGAGTGGTTCAATGTTTTTGGTTTGAGAAGCTGAGTCAGTGGGGAGAAAAAGGTTTGGTAGAGGAGGATAGAGAGTTGCACTTAAGACACATTAAATTTGAGAAAATTATTCAATATCCAGATACATAAATTGTATGTCCAGTTGCTTGGTGCTGTAGTGGGAAGAGAATTTGAGGAGCCTGGTGGGTTATTCACACCAATGTGATGCCAGGTGACGCCATGAAGCACGGTCTGATTCAACTATGCTATCTTTATGTTACAAGCAATGTAATAAAAATCAAGCCACTCCACTGTTAAGAATGGGATAGAGGGTGAAGTTATAAATATCTATATTATGATATTTTGCAACATTAATATTAAATTATGGGCATTGCAACATATTTGCCTTATTGTTACTAGTTCTTTAGACTAGAAAATGGTAGGTCATATATTATTTTTGTTAAAAGTTACATTATAATATGATTGCTCTCTCTTATAAATCACTTAAATCTATGAAAAGTTCACCTTTCTTAGTCTGAGGGTACTTCAAAAAGTTCATGGAAAGATTCTATCTTTCCATAGATTTCATGGGGAAAATGTTGATGGGAAAATAAAATTAAAGGATAATACGAATCTTTCCTTGAACTTTTTCAAGTACCCTTGTATTAAGCTTAACTTTCCTCTGACCATCACCTTAGGTATAAATGGAATATCTTTATACTTGTGAATTCATGTGTTTAGGGAGTTTAGAGACTTATCATTCCACCGTAATAAATTGTGACTCATCTGATATTGATATATCATTGTAAATACAACACATTTTGATATTTGTATGAGCAACAAATTAACTCATTCACTTAGTGCACATTTGTGAATAACAGCAATGAGCACAATTCTATAGCCCCACAGGTTGTTAAAGTTTTGACAGGTTAGCACGTATTAGTGTCGTTATATCAAGAATAGCACTGGAGGCATAGTAATTTAAACAAGTACAAGAGTATTTCAAAAAGTTCGTGGAAAAATAGAACTAAAAGATAATACTAATCTTTCCATGAACTTTTTTAAAGTACCCTTTAAAAAGTACCCTTGTTTAACAGTATAGTGCTGTTATTCCTATAAACACTGGAATCATGTTAGTATAAAATAGTATGATAACATCAGTTTTTCTAAAATATTAACAGGGTAATGTGGATCTTAGAAGAGCTTAAGTGGTATTCTCCAGATGACTCTTAGATGTCTGTCCTATAAAGTAAAGCCTTCTCTACCTAAGCATGGAAATTATTCCACTTTATTTGGTAACCGTGATCCAACGGAATCTGTTTTCTTTGGTTCAGGATCCAGTGTTGTAGAAATGCTTGCAGGTCTGGGTAGTTTCACATCTTGAAATATTTGAGATCTAATTTCATCTCTTGTTTATGGGGAAAGCCAGAAGCCAAATGCTTAAGCAATAAGCTTGAGAATCATTTTTAGTTGTTCTTTTCTCCTTCAAGTCTTCTCAGAATGAATTCCTAGGATTTATGACTTCTTTATTTCTATTCCCAAATACTTCAACACTTGAATATTATGAGAGTTTGTGTTCTCATCCAAATTATGATCTCTATTGAAGTTTGGTTCAACAGATTTGAGTTCTGTGTAATAAACTCTTCCCATGTAGATGATATTTTGATTTACTTCTGTAAATATTTTTATAACAGAATGGAGCATCTAAACAATTGTTAGTTAAATATTTGTCTGAATCTGCTTGAGAACAAAGGCTCTCCCAACAACCATCCTTTACTGGTTTCTGGAAGGGGTGACTTTTTCCCCATGAATTATTTTTTAGTCTGTACTCTCAGTAACAAAGTGATGATAAAATCCAAACAAGGAGATTATGATTTTAATATACTTTATTTAAAAAGTACACAGTTTTAAATTAGTTTCAATGGGTTTCAAGCAGAAGGGACACTGCCTACCACTTGCAGTCCCATTTCTGATGAAGGGTGATTATCATGTGGCAAACTCACATTTGCATGAGTGGCAAAATAAAAAGATAACTTCTTTGTCGACATATCGTTAAGAGGTTATATCACACACAGTTTAAAATCATGAGATGCTGATGGTTGGACTATACTTCATGTTTCCTATGTTGCACCATATTTTGGTTCACAGTTTATCCATGATTTAGCATGCCAAGAGAACATCTCAGTCAGTGTCACCTTGAGAAGAGCATCAAAAGCAGAGGGAGCAGGAGGAGGACTGCCTCGGCCTGGAGACTCAGCGCACCCCCACACTCCCGTGCATTCTCCTACGGGGAAAGGCAGGGTGTGGTTAGAGCAGAAATGGCTCCCACAATCCCTTAATTTTTTCAAGCCAGATTGATTCCCCAACCTCTCTCCCTTTTCCAGTATAAGAACAAAGTCTTCTGGGATCTAGATCATGTGGGGATATGGATCTGTCTAAACTTTATCAAGTTAGAGAAGAGAATCTCTGATTTCTGTTGTCAATGCATAAAATATTCTAAATTACTCTTTGCATATTATCATGTAGAGCATTCAAGAGGTAAAGGG